CAGCCCCTCTGCCGTTTTTTGACGGCCATCTGCGCCGCGAGCAATTCCCTCTGGGGCGCACATTGCAGGTAGATGCCTCGTGTCCAAAGATATGACAACGTTGGCATCGCACAGTGCGTTGGGTTTCTCGCCGATCGACGAAAAGCTGGGCTGCCCTCGCATAAGCGTCCTTCTGGTGAACAGCGGTGTAAAGACGGGCGCGCAGTTTGGAAAGCCGGATGCCGGGATCGGATGCCATCGTGAGCTGCATCCGGAATGTACTCAGTAGGGACCTCCCCAAATTCATGAAGCGACCGGTGGGATCCTGCCCGCCTTCCAGCACGCCGATCCACTCGACCAAATTGTCAAAGGCAAGTTTAACCTGCTCGTCCTCCTGTTGCCAGCATTGGCATGCGCACCGGAGGTCGAAAACGACTCCGGAAGTTCCCTCATTCCATATGCGCGTGGGCCACGTGGTGACGTCGAATGCGCAGAAACCGCGGTCCTCTTCCATAGGTGATTGGGCTTCCAGGGGAGAAGTGCGGGAAGGCAACGGCGTGGGAGAGTGGAAATGTGGTCTCCCAACGTTGCTGTGAGGGCGTCTGCAAGCCGCCGAGCTGGGTCGGGCCGCGCTGCTAGGCACGCCCCCAGCCATCAAGATTTCCGTTTGATGCGGTAGTGTAGACACGCCACCGTTGGCAACGTGTCGAGTAGCGGGGGCCTCGTCCCGCCCCGCCGTCTCCGCATCCCGCGCGGGTTGTTGTGCGTTTTGGCGTGCCTCCCGTTCCTGGAATTGACCAGTGAGTCTTCCCAAGTTGAATTCGCGCTCCCGTAATTGGGCGTGAGCGGCCTCCAACTGCTGTTTTAGTTCTGAGACCTGGTTGCCGGCCCCGGCGATATTGGATTCCCTCACCGATAGGTTAATATGCGCTTCCTCAACCTGCGAGTTAAGCTGATCATTCCGATTCTGCACGTCCGCGACGGCGTTTGCGTAATCAATATTCAGGCGCTGCTTTCAGCAGTGATGAGCCCTTTTTGGTGCCCCAACTCCCGGGCTGCCCCCATAGCGGGCAGGAGCACTTGTGTCTCGAAATTCGGGATCTGAGGCGCCCGTAGATTCGCAATATGTCCAATAATAGTAGAATCCTGCCATGCTTTAGAGATAGGTCCATTGAACAGGCATAACCCTGTCGATGATGCGGCCACAGTTAACGTCTCATCCGACATCTGGTTACCATTAATAAACGTCATCTGCACCTGGGTCTCGCCACATTGGCACACCATGTCCCAGAGACGGGCACCAATATCACACCACTCGGAGGGTGTGTAGGGAACCAAAGCCATTTCCTTAAACTTACCTGGCTGTGTCTGTAAAAAATAAAAACAAATATATTATCTGGCCTCTATCGGCTCCCTGCCCCTACAAAGTCGTGTTCTTCCCAAAAGATTCATACGGTAGAAAGTATCATAAAGAAGAGCATTAGTTTTATCAGGATATAAACATACATTAATTAAGTTAGCCAGCTCTCCCGCGATCATTCTATTCAAAAGCTCCTAAAAGAATCTTCTGGGCCACTGGCCGGATCCTGTAATTACCCAAAAATAAAAAAGGAAAAAAAGCGGTAAATGGAGAGGCAATGAGTTCTCCGTAATGTTTTCCCAAATATGTCTATGTATACACATTCTGCTAATCACTGCCGTTGACTTCTGCACATGGTTAGAATTAGAAACACTTATCCCCTGCGAAGTGGCAGGCCATTGGGGCTCCTCCACCCACAAGAAAACGCCGCAAGGTGGGGATCACAAAGTGGGTGGGTGGGGCGGCAAAAAATAATAATAATAATAATTTCGTCTGGCAGCTGTCGGCTCCCTGACTCCCTCAATCGCGGTGTCCCAAAAGACAGTGCGATAGAAGAGGAAGAAGTTGTGAAGAGATATCTTCGTTTGTGCGAGATATGAATTTATTTGGGCAGCCAGCCATCCTCACAAGCATTCTTTTCACAAAATCCCATGAAAATAAAGAAAAATTCTCCGGCCCCTATAGTGCGCAACAGCCTCCAGTGACGATGCGCCTCTGGTGAAAATAAAATAAAATGAAATGAAAAAAGGGTGTGGTGAGTGTGGCACTGCTGATCACAACGGTTCTCTGAAAAGAAAGGCATTCACTGTCCAGTCCTCGTAGGCACACACATATAAAAATCGTTAAAATACTTCCTAATATATTTCACCAGAACGAAATGCACTTTGTTCCCCAATTATTTCCCAACCTTCTTCCCTATCCATTTTCTACAAGATTATTGTATTCTCATTCCCCGGATTTTACTTAAAAAATCAGGTGTTAACAAAAACTGGTATTGGTGTACCTTTCCGTTCCAAAACGCCACAATCTCTTTTTCAGCGTCGGTTTCATTGTTGGAATTAATGTAATCACATGCATGCCATTTTATTATCATTTTTCTGTCTGCGTGTTGTATATAAATCATCTCCCACGACATGTCTTGGGATAATTCGTCCCATCCTTCAAAATATGCTGCCAGGTGCTCAGTGAACTGCCTCACGGTGCTGGCTGTCGTGTGATGCGCACTCGCCGTCGTCATCTGCAGCCCAACCAGCGTCTTCTGCGGCGAATCAACAAAGAAAAAGCCGTCCACCAGTGGAAAGTTCTCAACCGCCGGTAGGTACAGCACCCCGTACTCCATCGAAATCCTCGTGACACCGCCTTCCATCGACGGTAATCCAACGGTGCGAGTGGGGTACCCTTGATGGTTTATTTTCAGCACCGATTCCTGTGCTTCATTACGTTCTGGTGACCTCAGCTCCTTGAGTTCCTTTAATAGTGCACCGACAAACTCCCCATACATGAATGCGCGCAAACCCAATTGTTCCAGAGCTCGGGAAGCAAGAGCACCTTGCGGTCTCAATATTATCAACAAAAGATCCTTAGTAGCCATTGGCTTTGCCAAACGGTCCGCAGTTCGAAACCCGATATCAGCACATATCGATGCGTTGAGAAATACCTCAACACCTTCTTCTGTTCTTCCCCGGACGACCTTCACAAGTTTTTGAGACGAATTCTTGAAATACCATATCCTACTTCCTCTCAGGGTAAAGTGCTCTCCAACATCAGTTGGTTCGATCCCCAACAAAGCATCATCAACGGCACCCATGCGGACAATATAAATTTTCTCATCAAAGATGTAACGTGGAATCGGCCCCACTTTATCCATGCGTTCTTTGACCTCTTTCCAGTATTCCGCTTGCTCATCTGGTCCCAGACCTCGCTTCATCCATGCACACATCGCCTTCACATCCTTCTCGTCGGGGCAATTCATGATGATTCGACTGGCTTTTACTTGCTCCTCCCACTCATCATAGTTGCTTACCTTTGGCGATGATACCACAATCATGCCCCATCCATTACAGGGTGCAAAACCTGTGTCGGGCGGTGTTCCGTTCGTTCCCACATCGTAAATAATATACCCTTTCATCCCACTCTTCCACAAACTCGATATAACACTGATGGATATTTTATTACCCTTGTATTTTGTCACGGTTTTGGTGGTCTTGTCAAACACGTACGTCGTATCTCCAAAACAGTGGACAACCACTTGTAGTTTTTCCGCATCGTAGTGCAGTAGCTGGTAGAGGAGGTAAGAGCCGGCAGCCATCGACTTCCCGATCCCGGGCGTCCCAATCAACACACGCGGCATAGGTGAAGGATTGAGAGTCAAATGGAAATTGTTGAACCACTTGGTGAGATCGTCAAGGACTATCTGCCACGCTCGCTCGACCTCGCAGTTAACAAACAAGTCATAACCACACCCATGCGGCGCATTCAGCGTGTACGGCCATCCCCTGTCCGAGGTGAGCACCATCAGCCTGAGACGCTCTGCACCGGATTGCTGCACACCGTCATCCCTTTCGAGGGTGTCGCCAACGTTCTTGTACGTCCATGACTGTGGTGGCTTCCCCTCCCTCACATCCATTCCCGTCCCCTCGCCGCCAGTAACTTCCACCACACGGCCCCACCTCGCATTGTACACAGACTCGTATTGTCCCTCCAGCACGTACATCCTTCGGCCACCTTCTTTGAATTCCGCGCCTGAGAGAAGACTATTTATTATTCTCTTCCGCGTGAGAATCGATTATATACCTGTTTTAGTATTTGGATTGAGTTAAAGCTGAATACTAACCACTAAGCAAAAAAAGGAATAGGAGTAATAGACAAAGGTCACAGGCATGACTGACAGCCTCAGCACGAGAGTCATCCACACGGTGTGTGATGCACACCAAATGCACGAGGGCCACCGCAACGACGGCGAGTGGGTGCCATCCACCCAGCACAGTGTTGGAGAGAACCAACAACAACAAAGTGGTGCGCACAGAGGGTTCGCCCACGCATCCCGCTCGCCACGGTCCCGCACCCGTGTGGCACAGCCGTCACCGCACACACTCGGCAAGAAAACGTGGGCACATAGCCACTGACACAAACACACAAAATTTCGGGGAGAATTCGCTGCAGAAGCGGCCACATGCAGGGAGCACAAATCATACACGCCACAACAGCGATGCATCATAGCAATCCCACACACAACAGAAAAGAGTACAATTTGCATGCTTTATGAAAAATAACTGCGGTGTGCATGGCAAAAGAGTGCCGTGACGCTGCCTTTCATATTGCATTCGCCATTCACATCCCACTTGGAAGCACGCAGCCGCCACCCCTCCGTTCCGCTCCCCGTGCTGCTCGTGTCGCTCCACTGGAGGAAGTTGTCACCGCACATCCCCATCACCGTGCATTGTAGAATAAAAATCGACCACACGGCATGGGTGCGGTGCCACCCCGCCAATAAATCCCAGGAAATTCCCACTGCCTCGTGTGGCACAGACCGCAGTACCATTATGCCTGCGGAAGGCTTTTTTCCAAACAAGAACGCGGCCCCACCACACGCCCGTAAAAACGTTTGGTCCGTCACACGCAAAGGAGTGGAGCGGGAGAACAGCAGGAAAGGTAACACCGGCAGCCATGAGCAGCCCGCACACGCCAACACACCGCTGCCCCGCATATCACCAAAAACAAAAATACCAAAGAAACATGTCACATCCCAACTGCAAATCGCAGGTGCGGTTGCAGCTGACACTCCCACCTCCTGGGCGTGTGCGGCCCCTCGCTGCTCGGCGCTCTAAGTGGGATCACCAAAAGCACCAATTCGAGAACATTCGACCACCGCCACAGCAGTCACGCTCCCCATTTCTCACAAAGGCGGAGACTTGCAGCGGCGCAGCGGACGGTGGCATGCACAGTCGCAGGGTAATGAACTGCCGCGGGAAGCACGCAACGGCGATGCGCCCCTCCATTGGGAAGCCCAACAAAAAACATGTGTCGCGCAGTCCCCGTGAGCAAACACAAATTTAACCGTATTCAGCTCCACTACTTTGGCCATCCGCACACACAGTATGAGTGCGACAACGCAGGCAAGGAAACACGGAATAACATCACGCATTCCCTCCCATAAAGGCCATGCGGTGTCCATGTTGCCTTCAACAATAATTCCACCTCACATCATCTTTCTGCATATCCGCAGCAAAAAGGCCCACACGGTGTACACTACATTAGGAGTTCCTAAAGCGGCAAAAATCGGATCATCAGAGCGCTGCCCTCTTCTCAATGTTAAGTAGAAGCCCTCTGATCATTGTCGCCGCCAGCCTGTGGTATTATGGAGGAGCATTGCGTTCTCGGCATATCTCTCCATTTACTTTACTTTCCCGACGCCACAAATGAAGTGATTTCCCACAGGTGAATTCGACAGTTCTGAAGAACGCGGCGTGTCAGACTCACTGAAACTGTGTGCGTGTGTGTTATTACGGGCGAGCGAAACGATGCTCTCGCACATACATGTATTCCGATCCTGCGCAACACACCATATTTGGCGGCGCTGAAAACGTTGGACACCAAACACGCGAAAATCGCAAAATGAATGCCTCTGGAGAACAAACCCCCCATTAACGTCACCGCAGGCACCGTGACAACAAAGTAACAAAGAAATCCAACGTCTGGGCGTCCTTCCGCACGAAGGTGAAGACACACACGCTTGTCCCCTTGGCCTCACTCCAACTCCTCAAAAGTTGATAGGTCTATGGCACGAGGAATCACGCTACTCCTGCCTCGCTCCCTGTCACGAAGCATGGCATTGCGCATATCCATATCCAGTGCATCTGCATCACCCACATACGTCCCTTTGGGGCCATTGCCTCGGTAGTCACCAAGCACGCGCCGCTAGAAAGTGTACTCCCAGTCTATGCTGCATCTCCTAAGCGACCTTGCTGCCTTGCCGCACAAAAAAGTCCACAATTTACGCATTATGATCGCAGACACGTGCCAGTGGGGATTCCCGCCCTTTCCCTCAGCATTGCAAAGGGCGTGCGCCATACAAATGCCGGTCGTCGGGCAGATACACACAGGCGCTGATATCCGTGACAGTGCGTGAGATACTCGCCGCAGAATGAGGTGCCGCAGGTCTCCGCTCACTGATCCAGATTGACCACGCTGAAGCCCACGATTCCCGTGGGTTTGGCATCCCGATAGGTCGCCGTGGCTCGTTGACTCCTATGGTGGAAGAGTGCCAAGCAAGCAAGAACCAAAAGCCTGGACACTCTGTGGAGTCAAAAAGATAAAAAAACACGGGCTGGCGCGGGCGCAGCTAAGCGCCATGGAAAAAACATCTCAGCTCATCCCATGGAAAACATTTCACCAACGTCACTGCAACATTGGCCTCTTGCTTCTCGGGTGTGTCACTTCTCTCTTCACTCCGTGCCAGCCTCCGTTCAATTCCCCTCCCAGCAGTACTACGCGTCACACGGCGCTGCTTCCGCACAATCACACCTCGCGGCCAATCATCGTGACGCGCCTCCAACCGCAGTCGCATCCAGCCTCGAAAGCCCTCGCATACTCTTCCGCCGTCCTGTGTGTCGAGAGAAGACGCCTCTCTCGCGGTCTTCGCGTCCTCCCCAATAAAGCTCTGCAGTTGTGCCCAAACATCACCGGGTCTCTTGTCAAGAAGGAAACCGTGTGCGATGTGACCAATGTGAGCATACACAAATTTAAAAAACGGTTTATAGGCTCTCTGGAGTGCCCTGCGTGTGCCCGCATGTACGATGGGAACACACACGGTGCGAGTCGGGTGAGATCATCGTTCCAGCTCGCATCTCCACCAGGTGAGTCGTTGACGGCTCCATCCCGCTTCACGACAGGTCGAATAACAGTGCACACGTAAGTGGCTGTGCGTTGCATTCACATGTGGCCCGCCTTTTGGGTCCAAAGTCGTCAGGTGGTGGAAAGAGAAGAGACGTATTATCGTTCTTCCATTTGCTGCTGCTGCCGCCTCACTTCCCGTAAAGAGCCACTGAACCCTCTCTCTTTGACGATAAAGGGTTCTCATGCATGGGATGCATCCTGCCTCGTGTGGCATGAGGAACAGCAGAGAGTCCTCAACGTTGCCAATGCGGGATTGACCGTCCAGTGCGGTGAATACAACACGCTGGATCTGCCGGAGGATCGTCGTGCACACTTCAGTCCGCCCGTGGCGGATACAATCCTCGGGCAGCCACATCTGTGCAGAACAGAACACCCTTTTGGAGAACGCCGAGCAGCCCCACCGACGTGTTGGAAAAACTCACAAAAAGAGGCCCAGCCAACCTGCGGCACATTACCGTGCAACTTTGATACCTTGACAGCGAGAAGAGCGTTTCTACCTGAGAGCGTTCGCCCCATCATTATCATCATCACTGCTCAAATCATCTCAACAGGCAACAATGGCATCGCTCCCGTATTGCTCATGCCCGTTGGCCTCCTCCACCCGCCGCCTCACGTCCGTATGAATAAAGTCTCGTCATGCACAGCGATGCGCCCTCTCGTTTCAGATAAATACCAATATTTTATAGTCACCAAGGTAGCAGTTCAGTTCTCCCTCCATAGGCACACCTCATAGAGGACGTCCTTCTGTTCCCTTTGCCGAATCAACGCACCGCACCCAGTGGATAAGCCCTGGTAGTTTCACCAAAAAATAAGTATTCGATTCCCACAGTAGCGAATACTCTGTGTGATATGGAACGCACAGTTTATTGTGCTATTGCACCGCCTCGACGGCCGCCTCGCAATGGTGCAAAGATGTCATTGCCCCTGCCTGGGTGAGGCCTAAGCCCCACATTACACGCACACAGAGAAGCACACGGCGCATTTGAAAATATATTAATATTTTTTCACGGCACATTTATGGAAAGGAGCACCACCCCCGTATGCATGTTGGCAAAGCAACGGCCCCAAAACGGCGGTGCTAAAAAAACGCATCCAGAATCAGAGGAAAGAGAAGAAGGGTGTGGAACACCCACAAGAAATGATGGATAGCCCACTTAAACCCGGCAGCAAAGAACAGGAAAAAAGCAGCAGCAGTAGTACTGGTGATGACCATCATTTCCTTTTTTCTTCCCTTTACTCGCTAATGACCCAAACACGTGGGGTTCAAAAGTCCTGAACACACAAGATTGTGCGACAGTTAGCCTCTCTCCAACCAGCCGCCTCAATACATCCAAAAGAGCACACAAGAAAACCACAAATAGCCATGGGAAAAAAAAAAGAGAAAAAAAATAAAAGATCCCACGGCATTAGTACGGAGGAGGAACGACACGCTTTTCGCACAATTAGTCGTAAAGTCGGCCAGAGCGGAACAGATCCAGGCCCGAGCAAACTCGGACGCCACAGGCGGTTATTGTGCTCCTTTGAGACTTTTCAGCCGGCTCCTGTTCCACCCGAAGGAAGAGGGCTGGCGGAATGTGATCCTCGCCGCAAAGAGTTGCTGCATCGAGGGCCAACAAAACAAATCCTCCATATTGCGGGTGTCAAGTGGGCCACCCCACCGCATTTCCGCGTCATTATCGCTCGGCTGCGCACGTGCGTCTCTTCACGTACCCCGTCGTTCCTCAAGAAGCCTTTCCGCAGGAGTCCTCAAATGCAGTAGACGCTTGAGAGCAAAAGGCCAGGCCTCGCAATCGCTGTCAGTCTCACAAACTACCTCCA